CCACGTATGTTACAAGGTGCAACTTAGTGGCTTCGTATGCGGGCCAAACCTGAGTTTTGTCCACGAGGTGTGGAGCCGTGATGTTCCGGCGGGCTCAGGTGCGAGGACTTGTGCTGGCGATGTGCAAACACAAGGAACGTGCATGCTGATGTGAGGTTTCAGTTGCATCCTGAAAGGGGCCCATGAGTTTTTCATCTCATGTGTTTTGTCTCAAGTTCTGATGCTTTTTAGTGCCCGTAGCCATGGCTGGAACACCGGTGGCAACTTCTTTCACAGAGTCAAAGCCGGCTTTCATAAAGCGAGCTCTTGAAGTGGGGTTGTTGCAAAGTGAGGTGGATCACTTGGTTGGCAAACATGTGGACACTTTGTCCAAGTTGGCATTTGTCCTTGTCCCGCCTGGCAAAGTGCCTGAGGACGATGCCGTGATCAATTTGTTGCCAACAGGGGCCACTCAAGGCTCTATCGCGGGCCTCAAGCGTTTGCTCTTTGAATCGCATACTCTGATAGTTTCGGCTTTGAAGCAGCGAATTGAGCGAACTGATGACACTCTTCCGGTGTCTCTTGATGTTGCTGAGAGGGAGGACCGCTTGACAGGGCAGAAGGCTCGGCTCGGCGGCTTAACTTTCCAAGGTGAGGAGGAGGTGGCCCATGGAGCTTATGACTTGGTTTTCTCCATGGCTCAAAAGAATGAGCTTGTCTGGCTCGCTCCTGAGAAGTTCGGGACTCGCAGGGCTGAGATTGGTGCAAAGAAGGCAGGGAAGGAGTTGGTGATTGACGGGACTGGAGTCGCTGTCAAGGACAAACCTGCTGTCCATAACTGCATTATCAATAGTGAGCTTGATCTTGTCATGGCAATGCGCCGCAGGGCCTTAGCTTATGATCTGGTTGGCATCTTGACTTATGATGTGGCCAATCGTTATCACCAAGCCTTGGTGCAACGTCTTCAGGACGCCCCTCCACCGGGGTACGCGAGAGTGTCAATAGCACAGGTCCTTCGTGCTGACCGCGCGGCTTTCCTTAAGCTGGCGGAAACCATCACTACTTTGAGGCGGAGTGGTGGAGGTGCTTTGCCGTTGGATGTTCAGTTGCCCAACATTCTTTTGGACCCAAGTGTTGCTTATCATCTGCTGCCTCTACCGCCTGGGGCTAGTTCTTCGAGCACTGCGCCTAAGCCAGATGATAAGCCTGATCGCCCGCCGCCCAAGCGGCCCCTCACTCCGAGGCCCAAGAAAGGAGCGAAGCGCACCAACTTCTCAGTGCCTAAAGAGCTCATCGGGAAGACGCATCAGACAGCCAAGGGGCATCGCTTGTGCTGGGGGTTTAATCTGCCTTGTGGGTGTCAAGACGCCAAGCCAGGAGGCAAGTGTGCAAAAGGGCTTCATTTGTGTGCTGAGCC